AGTTGAGAGATGAAAAATAGCAGCCGCAGATCATCACCAGGTGTGTCTTTCTCCCTCTGTAACTTTGCCCTCTGACAGCTTGGGTGATTTCATATCTTGATTAAGTCGCTGTAGCTTCAGTCAGCCCAAAGCCTTGGATGTGAAGAAGCTTTGCACTGTAGTTAGAGAGGAGAGGCTAGAGAGAGGAAGAGGGGAGGGAAGGGGGGGTAGATTGACAGAGAGACAGACAGCAAGAGCATTCGGAGCTTTGGAACTGAGTAAGATACCCTCCGGCAAGGCCAGCTTGCCGTAACCCACAGTCGGTAACATTCTTGTGTGCCAAGTCAGCTGTCACGAGACTCTGGTCACAGCTGTCAGGGACTCCTGGTGACCTCTGTGACCGGTTCTGTGGTTATCTCGTGAACTCTGAGTGTGTCTCCTGAACTCTGCCCCTCCCTGCTTTCACTAACTCACCTCAGGGAAGAAATTAAATAGCTGAGTCTCAGGGTGAGCAGCTGGGTTCCCTCTGTCCTGGTTTTCTACCTGTCTGGCAGGACTTGTCACCTAGGAAGCTGTCCCAGGCTCACTCCTGGTCTGAGCTCTCCCTGTCAGATTTTGATCCCAGGAAGAAAAAAAAAAAAAAAAGGCAAGAAAGGCCCTGGCTAGACGTGGCCATGGCAAGCTGCACGTTTTTATTTTCACTTCAGCGTCCTGTCCTAGGAGGGTGACTCCTCTGACAAGGAAATGGTCAACCTCTGTCTGCTCCACAGTGGTGATCAGATGGGCTCCTCAGAAACAGTGCCAGTCAGGGTGTTTGCTACTGCACAGGAAGTGATACATTTCCAGTACTGCCATTGAACCAAGGGCCTCGACTGTGCTTGACTACGCGTAAGTGTCCCACCCTGGCCTTTAACTCCTTCTACAGCCCAGGCTGACCTTGAACTTGTCATTCAGTTCCCTAGTCCTGGGATTACAGGCCTGCACAACAGACTGTGGTTTAGAAGCTTTTGATGTTGTGAAATATAGAAAGGATGAAACCACTTTAAGTGTCTCCCATATATACTCCCCACAGCTCCTAGTCTTGAGTTCAAGCTTTCTCTCTCTCTCTCTCTCTCTCTCTCTCTCTCTCTCTCTCTCTCTTTTCTTTTAATTTAAGACAGGTTTTATTTATTTATTTTTTATATAGTCTCGGCTGTCCTGAAACTTGTTATGTAGACCAGGCTTGCCTGGGACTCACAACAGATCTACTTGCTTCTGCCTCCCATATACTGGTATTAACAGTGTGCTCGTCACGCCTGGATCTTCCCTATCTTCTGAAACATTTTTACTCCCTCTTTTGGTGTGTGTGCACGCATGTGTATGAGAGATAGAGACAGATAGATGGGAGGGAGGGCAGAGGGAGCAGAAGAGAGAGGAGAGAGAGAGAGAGAGAGAGAGAGAGAGAGAGAGAGAGAGAGAGAGAGAGAGAGAACCATCCCATCATTGGGGTAGATGCCTTTGGAAGCCAGAAGAGGTGTTTGATCGTCTGCAGGTAGTTGGAGTTAGACAGTCCTGAACTGTCAGACATGGGTGCTGGAAACTGAACCAGTCCTTTGGATGAGCAGCCAGTGGTTTTAACTACTGACTTATCTCTCCAGCCCCTTTATCTTTTCCTGTATATTTCCGTGTATTACTTGTTTTCATAAATACATATGTGCATTTTCATTTTGTAATATTCGGTTTTGATCCTTTGATTATTAAAGAGTAGAAGCTTTCCTTAGTGAGGTCCTCACCATAATACATATTCATTTACATTATTCTCTTTAATAGCTACCTGCTATTCAGAGGTCTGGTATGTGAACTGAGAGATCCATAATTTTTTATTATTTTGTTCATGTGTGCACACGTATGTAACTGTGCATGTGTCATGGAGTCAGGGAACAGCATAGAGGAGTTGGTTCTTCCCTTCTCCCTTCTGGTTTCTGGGGATCCAAGTGAAGTCATCCACCTTGGTTGCTGGCTTGTTTATTGAGTGAGCCATCTGGTCAGTCCTTACCGTGAGTTTTAAACCAGCCTGCTTTTGACGGAATTGAGGTCAGCACCACTTGTTCACTGTCACCAACATCAGTAAGAGCAGTGGCCATCTAATTCATTTTGCTTTGTCTTGGCAGGCAGTAACTGACTGAAGGCACAGCCTACCCGCAAGGCAGCTTAGGGGTTTGTGTTTGCTCTCAGTGCCTCAGGGAGAAATGGAGCAGCCTGGAGGAAAAGGGGAAGTAGAGATGATCCCACCCAACTCTGCTAGGTTGCTGATAGCCAGGTCAGGCTCGACTGGCGGAGATCAGAGGACCATCTCTATCTACCATCTTTAGTACAACAAAACAGTCAGACAGCGTCTGTTTCATGGTCACGTAGCAATCAGTGGTGGTCACTAGAGTTAGAATCAGGACAATTTTATCAAAGCCAAAATTTTCTGCTAAAGCCTTCTTTTTTTTTTTTTTTTTAATTAGGGGTAAAATATTTGTCATTACATAGCCAATAAGCCACTTGCAAGAAAGACTTAGAAGTTAGAGATCTGAGAAGTAAAGTGTTCCTAGTGTTAAAGGAATGGGAGAGAGGAGGGAGCATACACACCTACAAAGTGAGACAAAAGAAGAAATCTTCTTTTTCAGTTCCAAGAAGGTGCAGAAATGAAAATGCAGATTTCAGTGCTGAGCTGCTTCCTGTGACATGTGGTGACGTGAAGGGAACATTACACAAGGACAGATTCAAGCAAGGTAGGTATCAAGGTTTTTAATTTACAACTGCTAAATAAAAAACATCACAAGCAATAAGGGAATTACTTAAGGAACTGGGGGAGGTGCCTTGAAAACAGGAGGGATCCTAACGCTTGAAGAAACCATGCCTAGTAGATGCTCACAGTAACATGGATGGAGCCATGAGATGCCCAGAGAACCAGAGAAACTTCCCTCCAGAGATGGAAACTATTGCATATTTTCCTTCCAGTCAGACATAAATGGGGAGGGACCCTCAGCCTCTGCCTTCACATCCCTGTGTCAGCAGCACCAGGCCAGGGCACTTGTTATGGCTGTTATTCTTAAAAAAAACGATCCCCGGGCGGGCTGACGGAGCCGGCCATGAGAAAGCGGCTACAGGAGGGCACGCTTCCTTGGCCCACGGTGGCGACAGGTAACAGACACGTAAACACAGGAAATATCCATAAGTATTTATTAAGGAAGAGGGAGAAAGAAAGACAGAGAAAAGAGATAAAAGGAGAGAGGAGAGATAAAAGAAGAGAGAGACAGAGAAAACGCGTGCGTACGCCAAGGAAGCAGAAGAGGGGAAGGGTCCCAAGATGGCGACGGGCAGGTCAGAGGTTATGGGAGTGGGCGTGGCTAGGGCAGGGACCAAAAGAAGAACAATGGTAATAGCATCACAGGATTGAGAATCAGAGAACCCAAGTTCCAGACTCAGCTTTGCCAAGAGAGGAGGTCTCTTTTTGTTGTATGGGCGGGGCTTTCTGGGCATGAAATTACTCGTTGTTAAATAGAGGACAATAATATAAAGCCTGACCCATAGTATATCCATGAGGATTAATTTGTATTATTGGTATAACATATTCTGCAATTATATGCCTTAAAGGTTTGCAAAGATACATACTATAATGGACTTCGTCTCAGATCTCATTTAGTATGAGCCTATGGATGACAGTCAACAGATTTCATTGTTTTAGTTGCTTTACTGAGTTATAATCGCATACCACATAATTCAGCATTTAGAGTCTCCAATAATGGGGTTTTCTTCTTTTATACATCATAAGAGATTACAATGAGAAAGTGTTTGTGCCCCCCTCTGTCTATTAGTAGTTGATGTTTTTGCCCACGTTGCCCTACTGAGCATCTACCGACTAGTTCCTGCTCTATAAATCTGCCTACTGTACACATTTCATACAAATGACATCTATGACATGTGCCAGTATGATCGCCTGCTTTCACTCGGCATGGTGATTTCAAGCCTCGTCTGTGTAGTTTATGCAATAATATATTTTAACTGCCAAATAATACGATATTCCATTTTAGGGCCCGATCACATTTTCTTTATTCATTCATCAGTTTGTATTATTTCTACACTGGGATTAATGAATAATGCTGTTTTGAGAATTTGAGTACAACATATGTAGGAATAGGCACACTCAGTTTGAGGCACATACACAGAAGTGGACTTGCTAAGTCATGGTGATGATACATACGGTGAACTCAGTAAGGAATCACCCAAATGATTTTGGTGGTGGCTACACTGTTGTATAGTCCCATGAGAAATGCAGGATCCCTCCAACTTTCCTATACTAATGGCTGTTATTTCATTATTATTATTATATTATTATTATTATTATTATCATCATCATCACCTTGGTGCGGTATCGAATGTAATTTTGTTTGCATTTTAATAATAAGGAAGATGCCAAGCATATGACTAGTTTTTTTTAAAAAAATAATCTAAATTTCTGCTGGATAAAATGTCATTTATGTTTAAATGATACCTACCTCTGACTGCAGGGATGGGTGAACTTCTCTTCAATAGTCTCAATAATTTGGTTAGACAGTGATGTCACAGAACTCCCGAGTTGCAGACTCCAGCCTCAGCTCTGAGCTGAGGGCCCCACCTCCACCTTGCCTGGGTCTTTCTGAGACTCTTGTTGTTCTCTAGCAGGAGAGCTCAACCTCACTGAAATCCACTCACCCTGTGTAGTCAGTCACTAGCTTGTCCTTTTCTCGGTGACCTTGAAGTAGTTTCAAAAGCTCTGTTGGTAGCAATTGCCATTTTATTCAGGCATAAAAATCAGAAATATGAAAGGCTTCAACAAAGTCCGTTAGGGAACTCCAGGGCTGAGCTGAGATTCCTGAAGCCAGAGAGGGGGGCGACTCTTCTGCTACTGACTTTGAGTACAGTCTGGGTGGCTCCAGTTCTAGTGTGGTGGGAGGCCACGAATCTGAGCTTCAGAGACAAAGCAGACTCATGATCAGTCTACTGTGGTTTTACAGGGATCTCCATGAAGTCCATACAGAGTGAAGCTGGGGACTGGTACACACCTACTGAGTTTGAAATTTTGGGAGGCCTTGGACGATCAAAGAACTGGAAGTTGAGTGTACGCTGCTACAATTGGCCCCTGAAATTCTTGATCCAGGTATTGCAGTGGAGTGGGGGAGGGTCAGTGCCTCTTCTTCTTGCACTGTTTCCAGATCAAATAGCTATGCCATATGGGGAATCCCTGATGCCGATCAGGTTTTCCTGTCACCCAGAAGAGAGGCAGCCCACATCCATAGCCTCATTTCTGGGGGATGCACCTTGCTGATACCTTGCTGATAGATACAGAATCTATGAAGATACCTTGCTGATAGATACAGAATCTATGAGGAGGGAATAGCCATTCTAGATTGGGGTTCTTGCAGAGAAATTTCTGCATTGACACCAAAGGAGGAGTTGACCGTCAGACAAGTGAAAGGAAATCTAGAGATAGACATGCAAGCAGCTGCACCAAAGGCAGTTGTGTGGATACAGGGGGATTTTGCAGGAACTTAATGCTACCCTAATGACCTCAAATTTGAAATGTAGACAAGGAATCAGTGATGTCCCTGAGGTTAGAAATGGCAGACAAAATATATGATCATCATCATTATCAGCATTATTTGGTATACAGGGGTTGAACCCAGCGCTTCAAGTAGACTAAAGAAAGATGTAAGCTCTCTGCTAACCCCAGCCTCTGGTTCTACTTTGCATGATGTGTTACCATGCTAAATACTATAACCCAAAGCAACCTGGTGAAGGAAAGAGTTTATTTGGCTTGCAGGTGGCAGTCCATCATGGAGGGAAGGCAAGGCAGAAACACAAGACAGAAATATGGAGGCAGGAACTGAAGTAGAAAGCACAGGAGAACAGTATTTACTGGCTTGCTCCTTGGCTCATGTTCAGCTGCTTTTCTTATTCATCATAGTCTCATGTTAATAGGGATGACACCACCCACAGTGGACTTGTACTCACTATATCAATCCACAATCAATAAAATGCCCCCACAGACATGCCTATAGGTTATCTGAGACAGATGGTTCTTCAAATGATGTTTGCTCTTCTTAGCTATGTCAAATTGACAACCAAACTAAGCAGGACACATCTATAATGTTATTAGTAATAGACTATCATAGACATGATTTCCTCATCTCCCTATCCAGAAATCTAGTATTTATCTTGTTATTCTTAGCTTAAATATCTTTCTCCTTCCTAACTTCCCTGGTCCCTCAGTTCCCAGAGACACTTCTTAAACTGAAATTGGTTCTCTGTGCTTGTGATTGTGGCACCTGCCTTTACTCCAAGCACTCATGAAGCAGAGGCAGAGAGTCAGGTGAATCTCTGAGATCGAGGCCAGCCTGGTCTACAGAGCAAGTAGGATGGCTAGACCTCCACAAAGAAACCTTTGAGACATGGCTTATTCAACCTTCTTCTTGCCTTCCTTCCTTTTTTCCTTCCTTTCTTTTATTTCCTTTCTTTATTCTTTCCCTCTTCCTTTCTTATTTCCTTCTTGTCTCCTCCTTTCCTTTCCTTTCCTTTCCTTTCCTTTCCTTTCCTTTCCTTTCCTTTCCTTTCCTTTCCTTTCCTTTCCTTTCCTTTCCTTTCCTTCTCTTCTCCTCTTCTCTCTCTCTCTCTCTCTCTCTCTCTCTCTCTCTCTCTC